TCTCTGTGTGTGTGTGTGTGTCTCTGTGTGTGTCTCTGTGTGTGTGTGTGTGTCTCTGTGTGTGTCTCTGTGTGTGTACCGAGGGCCGGGTATCCCAGGTAGAACCGGTCCGCTCCCAGCCAGCCCAGGAACAGAGACAGCGCCACGGCAACCTTGTAGGAATATCCGGTCCTGATAGGAAACAGAACACAGAACATTTGGTCCTCATCCAGTCCAGAACCGACCCAGTTTATCTGGGTCCAGGACCAGACGGTGAGTATAAAGTTCTGGCCCAGTCCGGAAACACTCACACGTTCCTGCAGGCAACGGTTCTGTTGAAGCCGACCTCATCTCCGCTGAACCGGACCTCGGTTCCATTGGACAGCCGGCAGGTGACGTTTGGAGCGGGCAGACAGTCCACTGCAGAGACAGACACACGATCTGACCCGGTTCTGGTTCTGACTGCTGCTTCTCTCCTCATCTTCAGTCGAACCAACCATCAGAACCAGATGGGTCCAAGCATCTCCTTTCTACCGTTATTTACATTTACTACTGATTCCAGAACCAGAACCAAGCGGGTCTGGATGGAGGGGACTCACCAAACGCCACGCCATCCCGGCAGTTCTCTGGTTCCTGCGTGGATTCATCGATCTTCGGGTCTCTGCACAGATACGTGACCAGGTCAAGGAACCAGAACCAGAACCTCACAGCTTTAATGAACTGGAACCAGAACTGGACCCATGCGGGTTCAGGGTTACAAATTTACTAAAATGTAATTCAGAAACCAAACGGGCTGCTGATGGATCAATAAAATAACAGATTAAATGACCTTAAAACAATAACAGTCAAAACTGAAATTGTGTTTATGTATAAAACGGTGAATTTAAAAAAAGATAAAATTCATGGTAATTATTTTTAATTGAATTTCTTGATAAGTATAATGAACAAAAATAAATCAAACTAATTATGAATAATTAGAGTTAAGCAGCTTCTTGAATCCAAAATAGAACTTTAGATGCTTTAAAACCTTTAGGATGTTGTAATATTTAGGATCATCAGATATTTTTTCATCTGTTCCGTTTCTTTTGCTGACTTATTGATCAGACCATGTCATCCATCTGATTCAGAACCGAGTTATTCTGGACCAGAACCAACAGACTCATCTCAGTCAGTAGGTCGTCAATCTACCGTAGATCTACAGACTATCAGATAAACACCATGCTAAGCTAAGCTAAGCTAAGCTAAGCTAAGGGCTCCTTCCTGAAGCAGAGTCACGTGACTGAAGGATATTGTCCCAGCCTCAGGTGTCTGCAGTCCTCCGCCTCTTCAGCCTCAGCCGCTCTGAGACCAGAACCACAACCAGAACCGCAGCAGAACAGCACGAGCGTCAGGAGTAGCAACCGTCCGAAGGGAGCCGCCATGATGAGCCAACCATCACGTGACAGCGTGTTGCCTTCAGGGTCCTGAGGACGGTGGGCCATTGGAGCTCTGAGATTAGATTAAACCGTAGGTTCTCGGTGATTCTGGATTAAATGAAGCTTTTTAAATAAAACTTTGATCTCAGCAAACCCAACGCTTCATAACCCGCCGTTCAGCCCGCAGAGTGGACCAGAACCGGACCTGAACACAGATCCGGTTAAAGGTTCGGCTGAAGAGGAATGGGAACAGCGAGAACATGGGCCAAGTTCTGCTGCAGTGCTTCTCAAGAGACAGAACAAGAAGCACAGACTGAACATGAACGCATCATTCTGGCCGAACGACGCGTTCAGGTGCAGCCGTCCTGCCGCTCCTCCCGTCAGCCGAACCTGCAGGAGGATTGCTTTTATTTATTTTACCACAATTAAGTGTTATATTTGTTTCAAACGTGCTTTTCTAAAGCAACTATATTTCCTTTTCAGCTTTAATTCATCTCATATTTGCAAACAATTTTACACTTAGTGTATTTTGATATATTTGAAAAATGCAAATCTATTTTTGTGTTGTTTTATTTACTTTTTAAATAAAAACGAAATTTTATTAGAAATGTAATCTAAGAAATTTATTTTACTTATTACTCTATTTCATTTACTAAAACCTTGGATTTTTTTTTCTTTTTTACATTTAAAACATTTATTTCCTTAAGAATTCGAAAATATCTGAACTAATTCTATCCATCCATCCATCCATCTTCTGTACACCCTTGTCCCTAGTGGGTTCGGGAGGGTTGCTGGTGCCTCTCCAGCTGACATTCCGGGCGAGATGAACTAATTCTAAATAAGCTATAATTTATTTCCATCTATTTCATCATCATCATTATTTAAAATGTTTTAAACTTCCACAATAAACTTAAAAAAAAACAATAACAACAAATAAACACTTTTTTATTATTATTAAACTCTGACAAGAACAGGAAGCAGTCGGTATAGAACCAGCAGAGAGTTACTGATAAGTACCGAACCGAACCCTCTGACCGTTCATCTCTGCTCAAATCACGAACCGCAGCAGCTTTGTCATTTCCGGCGGCACCTAAAGGCATCATCACAGCGACTGTTGGCGAACTGGGTCCAGTTGAAGTGAGTCCTGTCCCAGTTCCGGATGGTTCTGCGGCCAAGTGTGGACTCAGCGGCTGTAGGAGGTTCGGTTCGGTCGGAAGGCTAGAAGGTCAGTTCTGATTCTGGTCCGGACAGCCCAGCTGAGTTAGCAATTTAGCTTCGGGCGGACTGGGTCAGTTCGGGTTGGTCGGTTTCGAGTGAGTTGGGGGGGGG